CTGCCTTTTTGGCTATGGATGGCGTAAGTAGTCGTACGCTCGGCCCGTTGGGCCCGCCCATTACATTACTTCAAGCTACCCTAAGGGTCTAACGTTCGATTCTGGTACAGGCCAGAAGCGTTGGCTCACATAGGACACGTGGCAAGGGCCACGTGATCACGTGACAAGGGTCGCGTGATCCCTATGGGGGCAAGTAGTAGATATACTCGTACGTTTTAAGAGAGGAGGTATTGTAAGAGGCTACGCCTAAAAGTGTGTGTGTGATCGAGTATATCTATACGACTACCTAGACTTCAAGAAGCTTGAAGTCTTGTTACTGCCTTTTTGGCTATGGATGGCGTAAGTAGTCGTACGCTCGGCCCGTTGGGCCCGCCCATTACAGTAAAGGGCTACTTACCAGTCTAAAATATAGTATAATTAATAAAACAAAAATTTATTTAATACGCATTGATTAGTTGAAGTCATTTTTATTTATTTTAGGCGAGAAACTTGTTAGTTTTAGTGAGAAAAAAAATTTGCATTTAGTATTCTACTATTTAGTACATAATTCTATAGCTTATACTGGCGCTCTACTAAGAGAAGTATATAGCCTAATTAAAGCTATGGATAGAAACTTTGACCCCCTCTGCGCTAATTACCGATGCTTAGCTTCCCCGCACCGCCCAACTTCGAGCATCTGCAACACACCTCGCGCAATGTTCAGCCTCCCGAGAATATCGCTGCCGTCCTTCCTTCGCGGAGGGGCAGGCTCCTATCTTGCCGTCGATCTGCCCTCGGTACAAGTCCATGATATCGAAACTGCTGCTGACAAGCGGCCGCGAACCCTCAAGCATCTGCTCAAAGCGAATCATGCCAATCACGCCATCATCTACCACAACCTCACCTTCCACAACCATACACCGCACGTATGCTGCTCATCCAGCACATTTTGCAGCTGCTAAGAATGTATACTAGATTCTAGGCTCGGCTTACCTTCTTGGAGGCACTGCGGAGCACTTGAACGACATCTATGAGAAGGAAGCTGAGCAGTTAGAACCCTGGCACGATGCGCCGGGCGAGATAACCAAGGATGACTGGAGGGATTTTCTGGGCAAGCGCGAGTGAGTTTCCAGTTGAAACCACGCTGTTGGGTTGTGAGTGGTAGTTGCTGACTCCAGCCAGGTATCAGCGCGCCTTTATCGATTTCTTCGAAGACCAGCTAGTCACCAAAAGGTATAGCGTCGAGGAGGTGCTCGACGAGTTCTTGTTCGAGGGCAAAGAGCCATTGATAAATGGCATCATCTGTGGACGTACGTTTAACATGCGCAGAAACTGGTCATCGCTAACATTACACAGTCGCACATCCTCTGATTCACCTTGGATATGCATATGAGCTGAACTCAAAGACGGTGGCCATCGAAGCCTTGGCAATGGGCGCCTGCTTCTACAGCTCTCTTCACAAATATATTGACGACCCCAAATACACCAAGCCCAGTCCTCATAGTACGGCCGGGGCCCAATCTAGTCTGGTCGATATTCTTGAAAAAGTGCGCCAAGATGCTCGTTTCGACGGTCTGTACGACCACCGGAGTGGAGACATTTCAAAAGTGCTTGAAGAGCAGGAAGAGGCGTTTTTGGAATACTGGAACGCTTGGGAAATCACCAATCCCAACGAACAGTTTCGTGCCGCACAGGAACTTGGAGCAGGACTGTTGGTGGGCACACCAGCTCCTGCTCCTGGCCAGTACGACTTTTTCATTGTACATGTACTCACCAGCTCACATGCAATCCGCATCTTGCTTCCTTTGATCCCGGCCAAGTTCCATGTCAGCTTGCTACGCCAATGGTGGCTGTTCGCACTAGCTGTGTTCATTGCGCAGACGCGACCAGAAATCGATATGGACAAACTAATGTTGATGGAAGATAGCAAGAAGAGCTGGAAACATGTTGTGGACAGGGCATTGAATGGGCCGCATGCAATTGATGCGCCCTACGTCAAAGGTAAGTTTGGCAGCCATGACAAAGTACTTGGCTAACGAATCAAGCACTACGGGCCATGAAAGTAGCAGAAGAGACATGGGGAGCTTCGGAGAATGAGTCGAGCCATTGGCTCAAAGCAGCAGTTAAGTTTGCCGATGAGTTTGAGGGTTGGGGAGGATTTGGTATGGCCGAAGACGAGGCGAGGATGGCCTACCCGGAGAATCAGTAAGCTCGAGGGGAACGAAACAGAAAAAATTGTACAATAATTATGGAGTTCATAGGGTATTTATGCCTGTCTCATGTCAGAAACAAGTTCACTGCCAATTGAGCATTCTGGATCCACCCATGAGTTTGGGATTGGATGCATCTTGCTTGTCTTCGTAATGGGAATACTGGATGCTGGTAGATATTGCTACTCCGTTCCAGGAGAGTGGTATCATAAGAATAGGCTTGTGACTTAGTACTCGTTGATCAGCTTTTCCATCAATCACTCAAAGTGCATCTCAGACATGTCTTTGCTAACCAGAAAACACGTGATCTAGAACAAATCCGATATTCTTCTCGGCTCCAGACATCAATGGGGCACTTGTGTAATTCAAAGCAAAACTGATATGCTCAATTTGCGCGAATCTTATTCACGTGAGGAGATGTAGATGATACTCGACTGCAAGGCCCGTGATTCGTTCCTCAAGGTGACTTTTTCTCACACAGACTAGTGGCGGGAACGCACCAACTTCGAGTTTTCTGGAAACCGCTAGAAAAGCACGCTATCTAGGAGAACCGACCACGAGGAATCGACTAACAGCACTTTTAACACCTGCAGCTAAGGCGCTAGCGCGCAGTAGGGAGAAGAAGGAGGCCTTCCTTCGTTTTCTCACGCCTGTGAGAATTTTCTCACAGAGCTTGGGCTCTAATGCCAAGACTAGAGGGGCTAATAGGAACGCAGGAGCTTATTAAAGCTCAAATTCAGCAAGAAACACAGACATATCAAAACAATAAAAATAACAAAAAAAGACTAGCCTCAAAGGACCTTAGAGGCACAAGCAAACGACTAATGGATAATAATCCAGAAATCGAGATGGCTGAGGAGGCCCCTACGCCGTGCCCTAACAGGCAACCAGAAGAACCGCCTAGGCCTACCCATACTAGGACAAGAAGCAATTTTTCTCCATTTATTGGAGCAGTGCCAAGATACCCTACAGTAGGGAAAACACCAAAGGCAACCTCTATTGAGGAGGCCTTAGAGATTGCTAGAAACCTAGTAATCCAAGCAGCTAACCTAGCTGAGAACAACCCTACTAGGCAAACTAGTTTACTAGACCTTGTAGAAGTCTTTAGAGACTTTACAGAGACGGCAGAGTAACAAAAAAAACTCTA